CCTGAAAACAGGGGCTGATTTATTGATATTAATAAATATTTTGTGCGAACGTTAAACTTATTGTGTGGCCACGAAGTAGTATTTCGTGCGCACGTTATACTTATTGCGTGGCCGCGAAATACTACTTCGTGGCCACAATTAAAAAATGTTTTTGTCCATGTCATCAGAGGGGCTCCGTAGTATCAAACTGTTGACTTGGTTGAATTTATTTTATTTTATTTTTTCCCCCAGGGATGTCACAGGAAGAATATGTTTGAGATTTTGCCTTTGTTGTGATCTTGGCGCTGATGATTGGCTTAATTAATCATTTCATTCACCTGTCTAACTCTGCCCAGTTTCTCATTACTGCACCTCTAATCCACCTGCTCGTGCCTCTATTTAAGCTGCCTGCTACCAGTCATCAGGACCAGATTATTCTCTGGAGCAAGTAGTGAGAGTCTGTCCAGCTTTACTTTAGGGTGATTTCCTGTTCTGCCTCTCAACCATTGGGCCCACCTGTTCCTGTCTGATCTGTTTGTCTGACCTGTTTATGGACATCTGATGGATTTTGCCTGTTTGGTGAACTTGACAGGCTCAAAATACTCAAATGATCCTATAATTATCCTATCAGAAGCTTCTAAAGCTTTGGCAACATCATCTTGTCTTTCCCCAAAAGTATTTAATAGCGTGCATCAACCTAAAAGAAGATTCATCGTCCAAAAGAATATAAATATTTATACCAATAATAACAGTTTAAATTTAAATACACAAACAGTTCAACCCATTAATTCAAACTGGGAAACTCTGGATTATCCATAGGCAGGGTTATGTTCTCCAAGCACATAAACATTAGCAGGTATTTACATGGCTTAGCACCAAGGTCAGGAGGAAGGGACAGCACTTCTGTTTCTTCACAATAAAAGCATGCTTTCCTTTCCAACAGCAGTAGACATAAAATAGATAACATGGTATTAAGTCCTTCATGCAGCATTAAGGAGAATATTTTATTTTAAATTAGAATTAAGTTTATAAAGATATTAGCCTAAAAACAATATCTGGCGTAGGTGTCCCCTATAATATGATAAACATAAAAAGCAACAAAGGTAAAAAATGAAAAATATCTAAAAAAAAAAAAAAATCCACCATAGGATGCTATATAATTCCACAACAACCTAAATGATGTGAAACTTTTGTTTTAATTATATATATTTTTCTGACCATTGGTTTTCTTTACAGTTATTTCTGGAGTTACTAAACATTTTGCAGATTAGGAATAAATCCAAATGAACTTTATACATCCTTCTTGAAAAATACAACAAATAATCCTCAGGAATAACTTATTTCTTTTCAACATGGATCTAAACTACCTTTATAGAGATGCAGAGCAAATCCTGGCAGTCCACATGTTCTAACATTTAGTACCAAACCTGATCAGACCAATCATTCAATTCAACAAAAAAATGGAAAGAAACGATCAAAAACACAAGTTAGTGCAAACAGTTTAAAGTTTGTTTTATTTCCGTTTAATTTTAATGCTCTTAGAAGGAATGATCAACTAGAACTGTTGCTTAGTTTGTTTAAATCAACTTAATAAGTCAATATTTACCTGTTGTCTGGAGGTTCTGCGTATGTTTGAAGCTGCTGGCCTTTTCTCCAGAGCAACTGCAGGGTCCACTGCAGACGTGCTGTACTCTCTGCCCGCCGCTCTTCCTGCCTGCTGTCAACCTGCAGCCTCCTGGATTTATTTAACTAAGCCTCTTTGTCTCCTTGAAAGTCTCACTTTGCACTCCAGTAGGAAACCCCAGCCAGACACAATCAATATCTTTTCTGCTAAGATATTAATAAATGGAACTCTTAGTAATTTTGAGGTAAAAATTTTTCTGTATTTTTAAAAAATGATTCTTATTAGGGCTGAAAAAACGATATAAATTTCCTTTCTGCACCAATAAGAGAAATAAAAGTTGGTAGAAAAAAGTCTTTATTTCCGGAAATCCATCCCTGTCTTGCTTCATGAAGCTTTCGAGGGTCTCTCAGGAGGTTTACTTCATCAGAGAAGAATTTAAATTTATATCTGAAAATATTATCGAGCAGACACCAGTGAAGGAGTACAAATAGAAACAAACAAATCACACAAAGAGGTATAACGTTTTAATATACTGTCCTCCTTTAGAAATGAACGGGGTTACAACATTACTAAAACCCATTTTCTTGCCCTTCTTTAGATATTGGCTTAGCAGCAGACTTTCTTCTTTGTATTGACTTTATTTTTTTTTAATTATAGGTAAACTTTGTGCCTCAATAAGAACCTTAAATATTCTCAGTACTTGGAAAAGTCCTAGACAAAGACAATTAACTGCTGCAGATCAACCGTGCAAAATGACTCCAAAAATAGAAAGCAGGTGTCTCTTCCTTTCTATTGTTTTTTATTGCTTTTAGAAGTTGAGGTTTTCTTGCTTTTATTGTTTTATCTGTGCTACATTGGTTTCAGTAATGGATGCAAAGAACTGGAAAACTGAAAAACAGAGTTCTTCTGGCTGGGAAAATAAAAGGGATTCATCGGATCTTCTGGTTAGGTGGTAAAGACGTTAAACGCCTTCATATCATGTCATTTGGATGCATTTATACAGGAAAAAAGAGCTTCTACACCAAGTATTAAGTGTATATATGAAAGTGAATTAGATGCAAGAACAGAAATGCTTGAAATGCATCACTGTAACAAATGTACAAGTTTCTGAATTGAATACCTGACTAAAATATACTTTTCAGTCTGGCTGTTCATTAATGCAATGTTTCAGGAATAACATTTACAAGCCTGCAAATCCAATTTGGTCTCAATAACGTTGCTCTGGTTTTATCAGCCTTTACACCTCACTGGCCTCCATAAAAGGCTGTAAACTTTGTTATGATGTTGCACTTTAGCCCTTCTGAAAATCTTTTTTTTTTTTTGCAAATGCCTGGTTTAAGGGTTCCATAAAGCAGCATGTGAAACACTGATGTTTTGTCTGTCCTGTTTGCTTGAGCTGAACTAAAGCTGAATTCAGTTCACGGTCATGTTGGCATCATTCTGCATTCCAAAGTAGAGGATATTGCTTTGCTCAATATTCTTCATTGTTTTCCTTTATGAAATGTTACTTTCCATTTATATTGCCATTTTCAAACATTCAGAGTACAAAATATTATCCTTAAAACCTCAGTCACACTCTGGAAAAAACAATCTAGAAATAAATAAAAAAATTCTTAAATTAAGTGTATTTACCCTTGATTTGAATAGGTAAATTACATCATTTGCCAATTGAATGAGTATTTTTACCCTTAAAATAAGATAATTAGATAATATGCACTTGAAATAAGCCAACGCAATTGCTTTTTCTCATTTTAAATCTAAGTTGTGTTGTTCCATTGGCAAAATGTCTCTTTTAACTCCTCAATTCAAGAACAAATGCACTGATTTTAAGAAAAAAATGACTTATCTAGATCTAGGATCTAGATTTTCTCCAATGCATTATCTGTTGGGTCAGGTCAGGTGCCAGGGTCAGGTTCAATTTGCATGTTTCTAAGCAAAAACAATGCTTTTTTTGTTCGCCCACCCTATAAAGCCTCAAACTCAGTGCGAATCCAGACATTTTGAATCGAGAAAGCTTCCTGGATAGGGAGCAAAATGTTTTCAAACTTGGAAACAAAATCCAGTGGATTGTTTTTTAAATTTTTTTTTGAATGACTATGACCTGGATGACTGAGAATCTTCACCAGCATATTATCTGTTAGGTCAAGAAATAATGAAAGAACCAGAAATCTGTTCCATGTTTCAGTTTTCTTGCTGCTTTTGTAGCATCTAGACCTAATTAGACCACCTTTATTTAAAAATCCAAATTATGATCTTGTCAAGCAAAAAAGCAAGCTTCAAATAATAGGTTAATTAAAACAGTTTATTTATTGAAATAGAATCCTAGGTGTACACTTCCTTGTTTAACATTTTAGATGAGGTTGTTAGTTAAATTAGTGTTGTGCCGATGCCATTTTTTTGGCCATGATAATCGATACCTGGCTGTGCAGTATTGGCCGATACCATGTTTGAAATTGTGTGTGTGTATATATGAAGAACTGCATCCTACTTGGATGTAAAATAATTGCCATCATGGCTTTGTCAATCTGCTCCCTACCTTTGTGAAGCAGGAGACTAATACAAAGTGAATCCAGTAGAACTTTTTATCGCCTACATGGAATGGGTGACAATAGTTGAATAAACTTTTGGCTCTTAAAATGGTATTGGTGCCCTATTAGTTGGTACTCACCGATACCACCATTTTAGTACTGGATCAGGGTGCCGCCTGACACTGGTGTCGGTGCAACACTTTTAAAAATCAGACCCAAACTTTCCTAAAATATGTCAAATTCTCTAGGAATAAATCTCTAAGTAAAAAAACTGCTTTTATTAGGCCCTATAGGTCTACTGGGCACTTCAAGACTGATACTTTGCAAATATCACTTCAGAAAGATAAACTGCTTAATTTTTAGGCTAAAAAAAAAATAAGGGGACAAATCAAGTGGCGAAAAACCGAATTTATTTTTTGACACACAGCCTACATTATCATAAATAAACAGATTAAAAATCCTTACCCACATAACCCCAGTCATTTGTGTCCATTATTGAAGAGCTGCCTGAAGATGAATCACTTGTTTTAATTCAGCAAAATTCTGATTAAAATACAGTATTACTTGCATGTCTAACATATTGCTTGAAATCGTTAAACATCTATAAAAAAACTGTAGAACATGCCGCCTTAGAAAAATATCAAAATAGAAACAAAACCCCTCTGAACCCCGTTCCAACCCCCCCCCAACTCTAAGAGTGAGTCCTTTTTTCTGCCTAGTAACGCTGCTTTTACTTGTTGTAATTTCTGCCGAGGCAAGAAGTTTAGCTCTGACAAAAGAAACCAAAAATATAACTGCGTTAAACTCCTGTGAGTTTATTTCCTCCAGGTGTCATCTTTGTAGTTCTTGAGGTCGTTGAAGCGGGCTATGTGGGTGCACTGCAACAGCCAGCCCTTTATAATGGACTGAAGGATCCAAAATCTCATTTAAACTGTTAAAATGAAAGAGACAAATGGGAAAAGAGTACAGCCGATATAAACTCACATGGGCTTACAGATAGAGATGGAATATAAGAGTGATGTTTTGCATGTAAGTCATATTTATCGGCGTTAATACAAAAAATAAAATAAAAATACACCTTTAATTTGGATTTTTTTCCTTGTAAATTTGTGACAATGCTGGTAAAAATGCCAAAAGAAATAAAATAAATTCATGGTCAGTTCATTCATGATGTCACTACTGAGTTTAAAGTTTACTTATTCATCAAAGCCACTGGGAAAGAGAGAGGAAAGTTTTTAATTGGTTGGTTTTCCTCACAGTGGACCTGCTTGCACCACCTGTCTCCTCTCACCACAAACCACAACGAAATGGTGTGAAATGAATCAACCTGAGCACCAGACATGACAAAAAATAAGAACTAGCTACCTCTAAAGCTACAGAACCAATTTTTTTTAAATGCATACAGACATAAAAACATCATGGTATTAATAGAAGCGCTCTTTTGAAAAAAAGGTAACATGATAAACGGGAGGGCACTAAGTGCTAACAAGTGTCCAGGCACTTCACAGTCAGAAAAACACCTGGCACAGAGCGTCGCATGGAAAACTACAGTATGACCGTCAAAGAACTACAATCATGCACGGATAAACTGGCCGCTCCGTTCCACTCGGTTCTACATATACAGGGTTAAATGCACACAAAGACAAACGATTCACAGATTAAAAATCAACATTTAAGTCGTTTCTTCTGACTGTCGTCCAACAGCTACTGTTTGGAGCAAACTTCCGCCTGCTTGTGGTAGGAGGAAAGTCGGAGTCTGGTAAAATAAAGCATCTTGTTCCAATTAAATCTTTGTCTTTTGTCCAAAACATAAAGGGATAGGAAGAATGGGCGTGGTCTGTTTTTTGAGTTGTGGCGGCGTTGTGGCAGAGAGGCGATCCGGGCACGGCTGCTGAGGGTCCTTTAATTGCCGGCGCCATCAATGGCGGCTTTGCTGCTGCCGATGCCCAGGTAGTTGGCTGCCGACTCCACAGCGCTCTGGACAGGGACGACGACGTTGTCTAGGAGGCCTTTCAGGGCGTCAACCTGATCCGCACTGAGGTTCTGGTACACAAAGTACAGGGAACCAATCACCACTACAAGGAGCAGGAGTTTGAGCAACAGGGGGAGGAACCCTCTTCCGGCTGGAGGTTTGCTGGAGGCGACGGAGCTGCTTGGCTGAGAATACGTCTCGGTGTAGCTGCGGCTCTCGGTGTGGACGGTGCGCTGCACGCGGGACTCATCCAGCCAGTACTCGCTGGGTTTTAGGGGCCGACCGGCTGCCCCTCTGATGGGGCGCCTGCATGTCGCACTGTGCAAATAAAAAAAAAAACTGTTAATCAACCATCAGTTTGGTTGATAGATTTATTAGCAGCTTCATAAGATCAACGTTTACCTGATTCCTGTTGGTGTGCTTATTTCATTGGCAAGGATATCTTCAACCACACCCTTGCTGGCCTTCTTAGGCGTCTCCTCAATAACAACCTCCTCCACAACCTGCGAGTGTAGCATCAAACATTGTCAAACCAACGCGCCCTAGAACACCACCGTTCTCATTCATTTAACCACATCAAGTGACCTGCCTTGGTTTGTCGTCTGCTGCTGGTTCTGACTGTGACGGGAGCTTTCCCTCTGCTCCTGACAGGCTTCTCAACCACAGGAACCGGTTCTGGTTCAGTAATCTCTACTGAAGAAAAAAAAAAGGCAAACATATTTAAATACAGCTGCATACACAGTCCAGCTGAAAAACTGATTAGTATCAATAGCTGATCTATTGATTGGTTATTACCCCCCTAACAAACCTGGTTATGTCTAAAAAGATTGTCACCAGTAAAGCGATCAAAGCTCACCATCCTCTTTGTCACTGTAGTGGTCAGAGTTTGTGTTGCCGTTCTGGTTACTGTCTGCTTTGGGGAGAGTTGTGACGTCTGTAGGAGCTCCAGCTTCGGCTGCAGGCTCATCCAAAAGCTTCTGAAGCTTCTTCTCATAAACCTTACGGGTAGAAGCTGAGGGGTGGATTACAAATACGATACATAAATACCAGTTCTTTAGGTTAAGGAATAAAACGCTGTGATTTAAATCGACCAAATCAACTATTAAAAAGGATCAATTATTTATTATTTACGGCTTAGATAAGAGGATGCTAAATTTTTTTATTGTTGAACCATAATCTAAATACGCAACGTTTTCCCTGCAATTTCAATAAAACAGGGATGTTTGTCATTTTAAATAAACATTTATTTCTATTTTCATACACTTTCCCAGTTCCCATGATAATCATAATGTATTAACAAAAACAAAATTATTATAACTTTGTATTTAGTTTATAATCCTCTTTAAGCTTTACATTTGTTGATGGAGCATTTTTAATGTTTTTTCCTCCAGATATCTACACATTTGTCTTTCACAAATGTTTACAATTTGTATTTAATTTGACCATGTCTACTGTTTTCTTTCAGATGCAAGGAGATAAAACAAAACAGACAAGAATTTCTTTACAATAATCCCAGCGATATATCCCATCGGACATGTAATGTCTTTATGTTTACATTTATGTCAATTTCTATATCCTTGTCAACATTTCCCCCTTCTTTTAAAACATTGGGAAACAATTTAATATTAATGTACTAATTTGTTTTATTACAATTACTGTCGGAAGGCTGCAACTCCTCGATTTCCAGCCATTTTTGTAGAAATTTGCATTTTCCCCATTCTCTGCCTTCAGAGCAACCAGAAGCAGTTCCGCGCAAATATATGGCGATATATTTGCAAATATGTATATATCGTTTCATAAATTGTTTTTATAAACTTTTTTTTTCTAAATAAAGCATTTTAAATGTCAAAATAATCACATTTAATGAATTTTAATGCCAATTTAGGCCCTAATTTTAAAAAATAATTATTTAATGACCCGCAGAAACCCTGTTTACGTGTTGTTGGTGAAGGTTCTCGGTCATCCAGGTCATAACCATTCCCAAAAAAATTTAAAACAATCCACTAGACTTGATTTCCGATGTCTTCAAACACAGAAACCAAGTCCAGTGGATTGTTTTAAATTTTTTTTTTTTAATGACTGTTTATGCGTTAAACCAACACAGATTATTCCACACTATTGTTTCAATTTTCAACTTAAAAACGGGGTCTGTGGAAGCTTAAATACCAAAAAAATACACCAAACTTCTAGTTTAATAGGAAGTAAACCATAAATATAAAATCTCATGCTTGACTGGCATTGTCTCTTTGTCACATAGCTTTTATTCAGCTATTTAGTTTCATCTATAAAACGTGTACAATACTCTTTAGAAATCAACCTTTATCTGATTAATAATGTAAAAGGTTTAAAATGTTAACACCACGTGCCAACTGTGTGGATCTAATAAACTCACCAACAATAGGTCCAGTGTCCACACCATGCTTTGCCAGCTGTTGTTTCAAATCTTCATCTGAGAGCTCTGTCACCTCCACCTCCTCTGTGCGGGGTTTATCCGTTTTCTTTGTTGCTTTCTGATAAACCAACAAAATCCAATTAGATTCACTGAGAAATATTATTGTTAGGATTGAATAATTCACTTTTATAAGCCAGCAGTGTGCAGTTAGCTCCACTTTAAATAAATCCATGCCTCCTCTCAGTCAAACTTACTCTCCCAGAGCGGCTCCTGTTGGAGACCACCGGCGTGGGCAGCTCTTCGTCGCTGGAGAAGGTGTCTACAGGCGGGCTTTTCTTATTGTTCAGTACCGTCAGGTTCTTCAGATATAACTGCACATAAACCTCCTTCTTATGGTCCCCGCTCGGAAGCGGGACATTGTGCGCTGAGAGCTCGTTCTTCAGCTTATCTTTCGTGAGAACCGACGGATCTTCGAGAAATTCTGCCATACTAACTTATATTCAGATATAGCCTTTTGTTTAAATAATAATTAAAAAAATACTTAAGATGGTGGTTTCTTCTTTAACTCTTCGCAGTGATGAATTATATACTCCAGTAAGCCGCTGCAAAAACAACAACAGCAGAAACGTGAGCGAAAAGCGCTGTTGTCAAACAGAAGTGGCGCCTACCCGCCTCCTGCTCAATTAGCCTCGCCGAAGCGCTTTTTCTAAAATAAACGTTAACTTCTGTATGTTAGCCTACCATCGGAAATATTTCCATGGAGTTTGGAATTTTTGGAAACGGCTCAACGCTTGTTCTGAGATAGAACCCCTCTGAAAAACAGGCATTAACTGGCTTCCTATTGAAATAGTTAGCTTAGCTTCCAACCGGTCCACTTGCTACTGTCTGTCCGCGGTTGCAATAGGGCCTCACAATAAGCTGTGTCGCTATTGGCTGACAGGAGCCTGTTAGCTTTAATCTGATTGGTCGCCTATGAATGGAACCCTGACAAGAGGCCGCCACAAAGGAACCGCAGCCAGGGATGGTTTTTTGTTTGTTGTTTTTCAAACACGGCACCATTATCCTGCCATCCTGATGTCTGATTATATTTTTAAAATATAAACAGCTTCAGTTATTCTTTACTTTGCAGATAAAGTAACGGTATTTTGAGCAACTATTGCAAAGCGGATTTCTTTGACCTAAATGTTACCCATAATAAGTAAATGCGAATTATTTGCCAAACTATTTAACCTTACTCATCAATGGACTTTTTTTTACTTATATAATACTGATATTACATAATAAAGAAAACATTAAACAATAGATTTAAAAATAATCCACTTTCTACCACAAGGTGGCAGCATGAACACACACTTGAAAGATGAATAAATATTTTTCTTTTCTTTTCTGGAGCCAATTTAGTGAACGTCACTTAATAAAATGAGTGACGCAAGATGTGAGAATATTTTAAAGTTTCTTTTTGCTCTGAATGGGCTTTTATGTGAACATATAATTGCATCTAAGTTTCCATTACATAATGTTACAATTTAAGTTTTTAATAGGAATCTTTAATAGCAATCTAAACAGGTCAGCTTTTATTTTTTTGTCTGCCTTGAATGTTTCACCTCATTAAATCCCAAGCAAACACTGTGGAGGCTTTTTAAATATGAACAGGCTGATTAAGGTCAGGCAACAGGATTCCAATTGTGTTTCATATCTGTTAATACTCTTTAGATGAATGTTCTTTTGCATTACCTAAATGTTCTGGAGATTTTTGTCACACATATGGCTTCATGTTCTCCTGAATGATTTGATGGATAAGAGCAGAATTCATTATTTGGTTCTGAACCAGCAACTTAGTGCCTGATCTTCCCACTACTCTAAAGTTCGACTGTCAAGTGAAGCATGCAGTGTTTTAGGTGCTTTTTTTCTGGTTGATTGACTTTATTGATCTCACAGTCGATAAATTTACTAATTTCATCAGCTGAAATAGTCAAAGGAGAAGAAGAAAGTGCAAAAGGAAGAAAAGAAGCATGGGGTATATGCGGTATACAGTGCATCCACATATGACAGCTTTTTTTATTTTATTAGCAGGATTATTATACAGGGTTATTGCACAGGGTATTTATAAAGATGGATATTTATATTTATATATATATATATATATAGCTATTGCACTGGGTGGTTGCATGGGTATTTATATAGACAGGTATTTATTGCACTGGGTGTTGAATATAGAGAAACAGGTTATCGCACATGGTATTAAATAGTAATTACATTATATTGTGTCCTCTTTTATGATTTAATGAGAAACAAGAGAAACAATTAACATAGAACCACTTTATTCTTTTAAAAAGAAAAGAAAAAATGAAAGAGAGCATTCAATCATCAATGGAGAGAATCGAGTAAAGAGTAAAAAGTGTGGAAAATGGGTCAGTAAGCCCCCCTTCCAGCACTCTATATTAAACACAGCCCTTCATCCTGTTGCTGTTTTAAAAGCCTTAGAACAACGTAAGCAGTTCTATGAAGAATGAACAGGAAAAAAGCATTAGAATTTTCACAGTCACAACAAATAAGCACCTGATCATTTTCCAAGTTCTGGTTTAGATACTGTATTGTTTTGACATGCATTCTTGTGTTCAAACAGAATCTGAATGTGCAGGCATCTAACACCTCCAGCCCTGCTGTGGGAAGTGGTTGAAGGTGTCCCCTGTCCTATCCTCTCTCAGGGTGAGGGGGGTTGGGTTGCTGTTGAAGCACTGAGCAATCGATCCCCAGCCCAGCCTCCAAAAAACACCACACTTCAAGTATGGTTCAATTTTTCCACAGTAGATTTGCCAATGGAGTGAAAGCATAAAAACTGTTGAGCCCTTTGAGAAACACTTCTTAAGCTTTCTTTGTGTGTAATTTACACAGAAAACAAGGCTGTGGCCAAGAATCACACAGAGAGCCTCTTTAAGCATAACAGTCATGGGCTCTGAGAAATTATCAAAGCCTACTCCTTAATCGTCAGCATTCATATTTTCAGGATGAGCTCATCCAAAATGGAACTGCTCCACCTGATGTCGACCACTCAGAATATTTGACGACATTTCTTGACAGTTTAGTCTGAACCTGGTGAACAAATGAAACAACTGGGAACAGACGGGAAAAATAATTGATCTGACAGCAAAAAGCAGTCAGATGTTATATAAAGTTGAAGAGGCAAATCATTTATAAAAAGCTATGTTGTGTTTGGAAACGTCAGTGCATCTCAGATGAACATGAGCCTCGATCGTACATGTTCTAAAAGAGGATTTCTGATCATTTAGGAATATGTTTAACAGAGACTCCTTGGCGGAGTTTGTCTTGGATTTTCAACTCTTTCTAAACCCCAGTTGAGCCAACCACCAAAGTACCTTAGGAAAAGTCAACCTTTACCACCCAGTGAATGTCTGATCCAATTCCACTGACACAAGAAAAAACACTCTTGCAAGATTAATCAATGCTGCATTGTTTCAGCTCCCTGTAAGATAACAGGAACGTCCCTTCATTTGCATACCCCGGCTACACAAGCTCGATTTATTCTCTGATTTACACCACACTGATTTCCATACTGCAAAAATTTGAATGTTCATGCTTGGTGATAATGTTTTAATTCTTTTACTCCTCCAATCTATCACAACAATGTCAGCCCCCAATGATGTTATTAAGATGCTCAGAACAGTAATGTTCCAATGCTAATACAGTATATGAACTGAAAAAAATAATGATAATACAGCTGTTTTTGGCATTAACTTAATCCTATTTAGTTTCTTTAACACATTTTTTCCCACATCTACAGGGAGGGCATAAACAATTGTGTTTAAGTAACTTAATATGATTAAGGAGATGCCAAAAACGGTTGCATTATTTCTTCACCAATCTGTTGACAATCTCTTAAGTTAGGCTAAAGGACACATATTTACTTATTTAGACATTTCTGTCCAAAAGGAAAAATGAGACAGCTCCTCTAGCTTTGCTGATCATTTTAAACCCCTGGAAATGATTTAACTAAGAAGAATTCTTCTTAAAGTGAAGAAGATTATGGACAACAGTGAGCATCCTCTTCAGAAGATTTTTTAAAACAAGAACAAAGTGTATTCAATAGGAGATTTCCCCAGGCAGAACATGTGCATCTTTTTATTTAAAGTGCCTTGAAAGTACGCGTGTCTCTGTGTGCAACTAGCACTGTTGTGGTGTTGTAGAGATAGTTAGCAAAACTAATATCTTCATCTAAGCCTTGAACTTGTTAAATCCAGTTCCAATAAAGTTATTTAGGGAAGTATTCACTCTGATTTCCACCTCCATTTTAGGCTTTTAAAGTAGCTGTAATTAAACCTTTACTTAAGAAGCCGTATCTTGACCCAGAGGACTTGTAGAATTATAGACCTATATCCGATCTTCCTTTCTTATCTAAAGCTCTTGAGAAAGAAGTTACCAAACATGTGTGTGAGCACTTATAACCATAATGAACTTTTTGAATAGTTTCATTTTGGTTTTAGAGCTCATCGTAGCACTGAAACAGCTCTGGTGAAAGTCACTAGTGATATTCTTATGGCCTCAGATAATACATTTGTTTTTGTTCTTATGCTGTTAGATCTTAAGATTGCATTTGATAATTTTTTGAGGAATTAAATTAACGGCACCAGGCAGGTTTAAATCTTATTCATCTGACAGATTTCAGTTTGTTCACCTAAATGATAAAGCTTCTTCAGTCTCCTTAGTTAACTCTGGAGTACCACAGGGATCAGTGCTAGGACCAATTCTCTTTACTAGATA